ATCCAGGTGGGTTCTCCCAATTTGCCTTTTCAGGCAACTTACTTAAAAAGCAGTAATTACAGTAATTCCTTGCAACAGCTGCATTGCTTATTGCGATACAGAGAATAAATTCCAAATGAAGTTGATATGCAACAACTGCCAACGCTTTTAGTTTCTCTATATATTTTTCTTCTAAACATAGTTTTATCAAAACACTGTGAAAGCTGCCCACAGACTCTGGCTTATCAGTTTTTCAGTGATTTAATTCTTTTCACAAGTCTTCCATGTGATTAACACACTCCCTTCACTTCCAAGACATTTCCAGCATCAGTAAAAAGTTTGAAATTATATCATGGAAATGAATGGAAACAGTGGGACAAATTCAGGTTTTATTATTCCACATGCGTAAAGAAGGAAGAACTTTCTGTAAACAACAATTTCATTTATAACACATTGCTAAGAAAATTTGATTTAAACTTTATCCCTAAAATAATCTTTCTTTTCCCTGATGGAACTGGCTTCAGGACTACTGAAGGATGAACACAGGTGGGAACACAACAAGGCAACGACAAGTTTCTTAGGGTTTTTCACCAGTACAACCCATTTTGTACTCTGAGCGTTGCCAATGAAGCAGCAAGGCCTGATTTCAAATCAGCACATAATTTACAAATCTCAGTGGTATGTTTTAATCACATAATGGTAAGAGAAATGACAATAGCATGAGAAAATAAAACATTTTAAAATAAAGCCTGGATGTAAGAGATTGTACAGGACACAATCATCACTGGTGGATCAGCTCTTCAGCATTGCCCCTGAGTGACTTACTTGTTCAGATTCACATCTTTCCCCTGCTCGTGAGCCTCAATTAGTTGCTTTATGATGTCAGCTATTGTCATCATCATCAGCTCTGCATGGCTGAGCTCTCCTGAAATGAGAACAAAACAACAAATCAGGTGTATAGCCAGTGCTTTCCAACTCCTTTTGACAACTGAGGAGCATCTGCTCTGCAGCTCATATTTAGTATTTCCTCCAATTGTTGCCTACAGAGAGAATTTTGCCACCACGTACCACTCCTGATTTGCAGCATTCTCCAAAAAAATGACAGTCATAGAATCATAGAATTATTAGAGTTGGAAGAAATACCTCATTTCCAGTTTTCAGAAAGCCTGGTTGGAGTTAGGAGTTTAATGAAATATTCTACAGCCAGAAAGAGGAAATTAAAGAAATTTTGGCGGTCTTGGGAGTGGGGTTTTTTTGTGGTTTTGTTTGGGATTTTTTAGTTTGTTTTGGGTGGGTTTTTTTAAGTTATAAAAATTGAACGCTTCCTGAGATTTTGGTTTCTGGTTTGGTCATTTGGGTTTTTTTGTTAACTTGAGTTTAGGCATGCTATGTATACAGTAGGGAAGCCCAAAACCACACAGCTGAATTTCTCCTAACATCTAAACTTAATCTCTGTCTTTCAGAATAAAACCATTCCCCCTCCTCCTAGGGCTCCCCTCCCTCAGCCAGAGTCCCTCCCCAGCTTTCCTGGAGCCCCCCTTCTTGAGGGACTGGAGTGTACACGTGTGCATCTGCCAGGGACTATTTAAAGACATTTTCTGCTTAGTCTGCCGCCTACGACACCCGTGCCTTAACCCTTGAAGGAGATAACAAATATATAAAAAAAATAGGAATGCTGCTATTTAATACCTTTGCAATTCAGAATAAATTGGCTGCATGTTATGAAGAACCAGATACCTGATTAACCACCCTGCTGAAAAGATGCAGAATGATATTCAGGTATTCATTCACTAGGACCAGTTAACATCCATTTAAACCAGTTCAAGGGTGAGAGTGTGCCACCGGGCATACCCAACACCATCTGGAAGATTAAAATGGGGGAGAGATGAAGAGAACCAAAGAAGAGAGAAACCAGAGATAATAAAAATAGCTTCCTCCCTCCCCCTAACTGAACAAAGCCTTTTTTTTTTCCCCCCAGACTGAGATCTCAGGCAGCTTTTCACACATTAAATGTAAGCACAGTATAAGATGCTATCTTCTTCTTTTTTTAAAAAAAAAGGAACAACAGGGAGAAGAGACAGACACATTAAGATTTTCAAGTGTCCACTAATTTGGGGCACCCAACTCAAAATATCTCATTTCCAGTTTTCAGAAAGCCTGGCTGGAGTTAAGAGTTTAATGAAACGATGCAGCCAGCACATCTCTGTTAAAGCTTCTGGACAGTCAATATCACGGTCTTTGAAAACAATTAAAGACAATTTATTGATGAGAGTGGGAGAGGATGGTGTTATGTATGTGCTCACCCCACTGGCAGTTCTTATAGGCTTGGCCTTGAGCTTGGGGACCAGCGCCTTGCGGTGCTGGGGGGGAACAGCAGCGATGATGTCAACCAGACGGGGCTGCGCCGAGAGCCCGTACTTCGCTGACGTCTTGGTTTTCAGCCTGAAACCAGAAATATCTCAAATTAACAACTCCATTCTGACCCGTACACCCAGAGCTGCTCTATCGCTGTTCAGTTACAGAGATCCAGGTGGGTTCTCCCAATTTGCCTTTCCAGGCAACTTACTTAAAAAGCAGTAATTACAGTAATTCCTTGCAACAGCTGCATTGCTTATTGCGATACAGAGAATAAATTCCAAATGAAGTTGATATGCAACAACTGCCAACGCTTTTAGTTTCTCTATATATTTTTCTTCTAAACATAGTTTTATCAAAACACTGTGAAAGCTGCCCACAGACTCTGGCTTATCAGTTTTTCAGTGATTTAATTCTTTTCACAAGTCTTCCATGTGATTAACACACTCCCTTCACTTCCAAGACATTTCCAGCATCAGTAAAAAGTTTGAAATTATATCATGGAAATGAATGGAAACAGTGGGACAAATTCAGGTTTTATTATTCCACATGCGTAAAGAAGGAAGAACTTTCTGTAAACAACAATTTCATTTATAACACATTGCTAAGAAAATTTGATTTAAACTTTATCCCTAAAATAATCTTTCTTTTCCCTGATGGAACTGGCTTCAGGACTACTGAAGGATGAACACAGGTGGGAACACAACAAGGCAACGACAAGTTTCTTAGGGTTTTTCACCAGTACAACCCATTTTGTACTCTGAGCGTTGCCAATGAAGCAGCAAGGCCTGATTTCAAATCAGCACATAATTTACAAATCTCAGTGGTATGTTTTAATCACATAATGGTAAGAGAAATGACAATAGCATGGGAAAATAAAACATTTTAAAATAAAGCCTGAACGTAAGAGATTGTACAGGACATGATCATCACTGGTGGAACAGCTCTTCAGCATTGCCCCAGAGTGACTTACTTGTTCAGATTCACATCTTTCCCCTGCTCGTGAGCCTCAATTAGTTGCTTTATGATGTCAGCTATTGTCATCATCATCAGCTCTGCATGGCTGAGCTCTCCTGAAATGAGAACAAAACAACAAATCAGGTGTATAGCCAGTGCTTTCCAACTCCTTTTGACAACTGAGGAGCATCTGCTCTGCAGCTCATATTTAGTATTTCCTCCAATTGTTGCCTACAGAGAGAATTTTGCCACCACGTACCACTCCTGATTTGCAGCATTCTCCAAAAAAATGACAGTCATAGAATCATAGAATTATTAGAGTTGGAAGGGACCTTAAAGATCATTGAGTTCCAACCCCCTGCCCTGGGCAGGGACACCTCCCACCAGCCCACATTGCTCAAAGCCCCATCAAGCCTGGCCTTGGGGTACCCCCTCTCATATCACTGCTTTTCTCTTACTCCTAGGACAAACTCCACCTTCTTACGTCAGAAGAATCTGCACAACTGCTAGAAATAAGAAGTCATTGGGAGTTAAAGTCAGTTTAGTCTGACTAGACTAGTCAGACTAGTGTGAGGCTACCAGTACACGTAGCAAGGAAGAGAAGATGTTGTGAGGACAGTGGGGCAAGCCAAAGGAAGAGGGCAGCTCTGTGAACTCCCCTCCATCGTGGAGAAGGCACACTGCATTGGGCTTAAATCAGGGGCTTAAAGCTTCTCCACCACACCTCACAGCCCCACCCCATGCTGCAACAAGGGTCCACACTCTATAGACTCTATACATCACTTATGGTTCTTCCATACCAGCCCTGGGAGAAGAGGGACATTGCTTCTGTCCACACTTCCTAACAACAAGAAGCATTTGTTTCACCCCGTGCAGCTCTGTCTACACCAGCAAGTGTTGGGACAGTAAAATTTATGCACCAAACTTGTCAGAAAAGCCATCAGCAGGGACACGGCCTGGTGCACAACAGCTTCAACAAGTTTTTGTTCCTGCCAGCTGTGCTGAAATCCAGCAGCATTTACACCCACCCAGGAGAAGCACCACAGCAACGCTCCCATCTGGTCTCTCTCTGTAGTCAGTTTCATGGGCCAGACCAGGCCACTGCCAGTCCCACGCTGCCCTGCATCACCTTTACTACCCCAGAGAGTTTCCCCTGTTTGCTTTTTTTCCACTTTCCACTTTGCCACGAAGGAAAAGCACAGCCATAACTGAGTGGCCCTGTCCCCAGGAACCTCTTCTGTGTCTGACAGTCAGGAGCAAGGGAACTCCTGAGACACCCACACAGGTGCAAAGACTCTGCCTCCCAGTGACAGCGCCCAATTCAACGGTGGAGAAGGAAAGCAGGTGGCTGACAGAGGGGTGCCAGGGGCTGCAAGGTAAGGGCTGGCCCTTCACCCGCCTCCAAAAGAGCACGAAGTGGGGAACAGCAAGGTCTTGCCCCGTTTTCCCACTCCACACGCAGACACCGCGATAGAGGAGGTGGTAAAGCCCTGCCACCCCTCGGCTCCCATCCCCACAGGGCGGGGGGAAGCAGGAGGCCCAACCCCGTCCCACAGACCCCCCCGCCATACCCCAACACCCCAAAGTGTGGCTCCTCACTCCCCACCTTCCACAGACACACACACACACAAGGCCGGGGAAGGCGGCAAAGCCCTGCCCCGCTGCCCTCAGCTCCTGGAAAGAGGGGCAGAGCCCACCCTGCCGCCATCCCCAGGGCACTGCCATCCACCGACACCACAATACCTTTCCTCTTCTGCTTCATGCTGGCGGCAACCCCTCAGCTTCTCTCCACTTCACAGGCCAGGCCGCCACCTTCCGCCGTCAAGCGAGGCCGCGCCTCACCGTCGTAAAAGCGTCGCACCTCCAGCCGCGCTGCCGTAAAGCAGGCCCTTCCCCTCAGAGCCCCTCCCTCCCGCCGCCGGCCCTGCGGCCCCTCAGCGCTAGATGGTAGCAAAGTATCGACGTGAGGAGGGGAAAACAGGGTGGATTTGCCTCACAAAAGGCTGAAAGTCCCTCCCCAGAGGTGCCGGGAGACCTGCGGGCTCCTGGGGAGCACAAAGCGGGGAGATGGGGGGCGGTGGAAAGGAGCGGGGTGGGAACAGGGGGTTCGAGGGCCTTGGGGGGCCTTGGGAAGGGCTTTGGGGGGCCTGACAGCAGCCCCTGGTACCTCCAAAGGGGTTTATGTCTTCCCAGTGGTGTGTGGTGGGAGGATGGGAGGTAACAGGTGTAAGTTTTAAAGAGAATGGTTCAAAGTGGGTGTAAGGAGGAACTTTTCCATCACCAGCCCAGCCAAGTGTCGGGGTGAGTCGCCCATAGCGGTTGTGTCATCATCTTTGGAGGGTTTCAAGCCCCAGCTGGGTAAAGCCCTGAGCAACCTGGGCTGATCCCAGAGCTGACCCTGCTCAACAACCCCCTGCAGTGTTACAGGCTGGGGGCAGAGTGGCTGGAGCTGCCCAGCAGGAAAGGACCTGGGGGTGTTGGTGGACTGTGGGCTGAACAGGAGCCAGCAGTGTGCCCAGGTGGCCAAGAAGGCCACCAGCATCCTGGCCTGTGTCAGGAACAGCGTGGCCAGCAGGAGCAGGGCAGTGATGGTGCCTCTGTCCTGGGCACTGGTGAGGCCTCACCTCGAGGGCTGGGTTCAGTTCTGGGCCCCTCACTACAGGAAGGACATTGAGGTGCTGGAGCGTGTCCAGAGGAGAGCCACCAAGCTGGGGAGGGGTCTGGAGAACAAGTCCTATGAGGAGAGACTGAGGGAAGTGGAAATGTTTAGTTTGGAGAAGAGGAGGCTGAGGGGAGACCTCATTGCCCTCTAAAATTCTCTGAAAGGAGGTTGTAGAGAGGTGGGTCTTGGCCTCTTCTCCCAAGGGAATAATGACAGGACCAGGAGAAATGGTCTGAAGTTGGGGCAGGGGAGGTTTAGATTAGATATTGGGAGGAGTTCCTTTCCTGAGAGGGTGGTCAGGCCCTGGAACAGCCTGCCCAGGGAGGTGGTGGAGTCACCGTCCCTGGAGGGATTTAAGAAACGTGCAGACGTGGCTCTTCAGGGCATGCTCTAGTCCCGGGATTGTTGGGTTATGTCTGTGTTTTTTGTTTGTTTGTTTTTTTGGGTTTTTTTTTGTGGTTGGACTCAATGATCTCAAAGGTCCCTTCCAACCATGAAGATTCTGTGATTCTGTAAGCAAGACGTTGGACCAGAGACCTCCTGGGGTCCCTTCCAGCCCTAAAGCTCCTACGGTCTATGAAATAAATTCAAGATCCTTCCATGAATCTCCAGTGACTTCTAGAGCCCGCGTGAGCTTCAACATCTACAGCTTCTCCAGGCAGGGAGTTCCACGGCTGAGTTACGGTGTGAGGGGAACTACCTGCTCTTGTTTGTTGCTGTTAGCCAGAGCCTCCCTGGTGCCACCAGCTCCTGCCTCTCCTGACTGGTGGCATCCTGGGCAACCAGTAGATTCTGGTGGATCTCGTCGTAACGTGAACCTAGGAGTGAGCAGAGGGGAGAGACTGCCTGGATGCGAAAACAGAATTGTAGGAGAAAATGGGCAAAAAGGAAAAGCAGGCCACCAGGAAGAGAAAAAAAAAGTACCAGCTGACAGAAAAAATAATGAAGAGAGATGCTAGCAATGGCCAAGTGACCTGCTCTTGTGATTTGTGAGCTGGGAAAGACCTTTCTTTGGAAACCTCCTGATCTGAGGGCTGATGTGAAGACTTTTGGCGTCGTGCTCGTGAGCGGTGTGCGCCTGGGGACCGAAGGGTCAGCAGGGTTTGCAGGGAGGGAGGAGGGCACGTGGCAGGAGCCGCAGGGCGGCTGTTCCCACTGCGTGGGCTGGTTTAGAAACCAACTGGAGCCTGTTCTGGTGCCTGAGGTCAGGATTTGGAGCCTGGCAGGCAGCTTGGACCAGGGTCTGTGTGCACGTGCTGTGAGACCATCCTGCCTTCCCCGCCTCGCTGGGTGGGTTCGGCACCACAAAGTGAGATCCCAGGATGGAAGAGGTTGAAAATATGGTTTAGACCATCTGCTCCCGTTGCTACCCCTCTCTCCTGCCTTCAGGGCTTTCTGGAGTTCAGTTTCCTTCCTACAGGATGTGCTGGGAGTGCCCTGCAATGTCTGGATCTGCCTCTACCTGTGATTTTTAGCTCCCCGGGGGTCTCCCAAGCATCCTGTGCCAACTGGCAATTTACCTGTGGTTTGGAGAGGGCTGCCATCAGGATATGGGCTGTGCAGAGAGCTACAAAACATCTCTCCAGACATGCATCTTCCACCATCACCATTCTCAAACCTGGGAGGGAGCTTGGAGATGCAGCCAGGCAGTCGGGGGCTGTCCGTGTGCCTCACCATGCCCCGCTTTGGGCTGGCTGGGGTGGGAGGGAAAGCAATTCCTTCCCCTCAGTTATTTGCCCGTTGCTACCCCTCTCTCCTGCCTTCAGGGCTTTCTGGAGTTCAGTTTCCTTCCTACAGGATGTGCTGGGAGTGCCCTGCAATGTCTGGATCTGCCTCTACCTGTGATTTTTAGCTCCCCGGGGGTCTCCCAAGCATCCTGTGCCAACTGGCAATTTACCTGTGGTTTGGAGAGGGCTGCCATCAGGATATGGGCTGTGCAGAGAGCTACAAAACATCTCTCCAGACATGCATCTTCCACCATCACCATTCTCAAACCTGGGAGGGAGCTTGGAGATGCAGCCAGGCAGTCGGGGGCTGTCCGTGTGCCTCGCCGTGCCCCGCTTTGGGCTGGCTGGGGTGGGTGGGGAAAGCAATTCCTTCCCCTCAGTTATTTGGTGGTGCACACAGTGTGCACCATCCATCCTGGAGGATGTCTTTCTGTGGTGGTGGGGATGGCACGGAGCACAGGACGGGTAGAATCCCCTCTAGATGCTGTCGCGGATGGAGTGATTAACCTCATTAGTTAGAGTGAAGCAGAGAAATATTTATTAAGGTGAAACAGTGATTTAACAAAACCAGTAGTAAGTGCGATAAAACCAGTGGTAAATGCAATAGTGTTTTACGAGATTCGATGTCAGGGCACACTCTGTTATTTACTGCACAGAGGACAGGGTCAGAGATGCTGTCAGGGAGACCCTCCCGTTGAGTCACAGGTTCAGAAAGGACCCCCTGGCTTTCTAAACTCCTTCTCAGAGAGGAGTCTGGGTGGGGCTGGATCCAATCCTAGTCCCAGACTTGGTCAACGGTTCATGTCTAAAGGATTAGACTACTCTCTCCAACTCCTTGAAAGGAGGGTGTAGAGAGGTGGGGGTCGGTCTCTTTTCTCAAGTCACAGGTGACAGGACGAGAGGAAATGGCCTCAAGTTACACCAGGGGAGGTTCAGGCTGGATATTAGGAACAAGTTTAGCATGCTGTTAGTCGCTTACTGAGAATCTGTTGTGGCAAGGAATCCCTCAGTCTCGAGGAGCAGAACCTTCAGTGAGCATCCTCACCAAAGGGGAGATGCTGGCGTGCAGCCCGCTGCCATACAGGAGAGCTCCAAGGGCTCTTGGGCTGTCCACTATTTATACAGTAAGATAATTGACCTAGAGTCATATTTTCATGGCAACAAAATGTCTAGGTCCCCACTCCAGACAGTATTTTGACTCTGCTGCCAGCCATCCCCCAGAGACCGGGTACAAGTTCTCACAGCTGCTGTTGTGATGGCCATGGTGGGCTGTGGCAGGAGCTGAGGGGGGGCAAACCAGGGAGAGCACACCCCCACAGATGCACAGTGAGGTGTCTAAGAGCACTCCAGCGGGGACAGGGTGACTGATTCCCCCACCCCCATTCCCTCCCCTTAATCCACACCCCCCCTAAACACAACCCTGCGCCCTGTGTCACTGCCTCCTCATCTCCTCAGCCCTCGGTTACGTGAGCTGAGCTGTGTTCTCCTTTCATTATCAGCCTCATCCACCTATTGCAGCAACTTTTTATCTTGCATTTGGCTGCTATCATTAGCTGCTTTCCCTTTGATGCACAGTGAGGTGTCTAAGAGCACTCCAGCGGGGACAGGGTGACTGATTCCCCCACCCCCATTCCCTCCCCTTAATCCACACCCCCCCTAAACACAACCCTGCGCCCTGTGTCACTGCCTCCTCATCTCCTCAGCCCTCGGTTACGTGAGCTGAGCTGTGTTCTCCTTTCATTATCAGCCTCATCCACCTATTGCAGCAACTTTTTATCTTGCATTTGGCTGCTATCATTAGCTGCTTTCCCTTTGCCACAAGGTCTCCACACTCTCTTCAGTATCCAGCCTTTAACCTGTTCTAACCCCAGCGCCGCTGCGGAGACGTCGCTCTCCAAGTGAGTGCTCCCACTTCCCTGGCAACACCTCACCTCCCCTCCTCTTCTGTTTTGCCACAGATGGATGTTTCCAAAAAGAGAAGGCTGAGGGGAGACCTTATCAATGCCTACAAGTATCTCCAGGGAGGGTTGAAGGAGGAGGGAGCCAGACTCTTTTCAGTGGTTCCCAGTGAGAGGACGAGGGGCAACGGGCACAAGTTGGAACAGAAGAGGTTCCACTCAAATATGAGGAGAAACTTCTTCACGGTGAGGGTGACAGAGCCCTGGAACAGGCTGCCCAGGGAGGGTGTGGAGTCCCCTTCCTTGGAGATTTTCAAGACCCGCCTGGATGCTCCTGAGTAACATGCTCTGACAAGCTCTGGGTGGTCCTGCTTCAGCAGGGGAGTTGGACTAGATGATCTCTATGGTCCCTTCCAACTCTGAAATTCAGTGAAATTCAGTGAAAAATCCTCAGTTTTAATCCAACTGTGCTCCCTACCTGCAACTCCCACCAACTTCAGTTAAACCTCTTCCTTTTTCCAAGTTTCTAGTTCTTTAGCTCAGAAGAGCAATAATTA